TATTCTGAGAAAACCACATAATTTCAATTATTATATTCTTTGTTTTTTATAACCAAGAAGCCACGATGTTCCATCATAATTTTAAATGAATTATTTATTTATTTTATTGATAATTAAAAAAAATATCAATTACGCCACATAGAAAGTCATTGCTTGACTTCATAAAAATCGCAGCTTTAATTACGGACAGTCCGCGAAAGCTTTCAGGGCACAGCAACCCGCATGCGTCGACTCACCCTATCAGAACATTCAGTGCCGAGGAAGATGCGATGGTGATGCGACGTCCCATCTCTGTAAAACTGAGATTCGCGATCGCAAAAGAACCGTTAGATTAAGTTCCGCAAAACTGTGACATTGTTACAGATCTTATAAAAAAGTGTTAAGTGGTAGTGATTTTAAATTTTCCCTGTCATCAAATAATCGATGTTTTTTAATACATGGTAAATTATAGGTACAGTTTTTACCTTCTGAGTTACTAGACAAAATTGTCGATGTTTTAGTAAGAAATTCAAGTTTTCGTTTTTCCTTCGAAACAGTGGGACATACTTTGGTTTAAAAATATTATATTAATGATTTCTACATTTAATAAGGGTAAATGACAAAGTTTTGGTTTTATGTAAGAAAATATTAGAGACATTGAAATTTTTTTTAATTTAAAAGTTTTCTTGCGTTTGTGTTTTTTTTCTTGAACTGACAGAAATGTGAACTAGCAGGATAGAAGGTTAATGCATTACCGTTATTATAAGTAATATTCATACAATAAAATGTGGTAAGCGTAACGATTCAAGTTTTTCTGCAATTATAATTGAATGAACGATAATTATTACGGAATAAACCATGCAATGTGCATGCATTTGTAGTCTAAGATAGATCATAAATTATTAGTTCTTCTAAACTAAAAATCAACCATATTTAGAACGTATACCTATACAAATCTTTTTTTATATGCATAGATAGATGGATGTTTGTTACTATGCCTCTTCAAAACGGCTACAACGACAGATATCGATGAAATTAGGCACAAATATAGAAGTAGAACATCTGGAAGACGACTTAGGCTACTTATTGAGTTTGTTTAATTCCGCATGAACGAAGTTGCAGGCAAAAGTTAGTTAATGAGTGTGTTACTAAAATCGCATCTTACGTCATACGTATTACGTATTTCATCTATCTATGATATCTGGTAACTAAGAAGCATGTTTTATTCAATTACCGTATATTATTTATAATAATTGGTAAATCATGCTGTAAAATTTAAAAGGGGAAGAAAATCAGGTTTCAACATTTAAATTCGACGAATGTGAAGTTGCGGACAACCGCTAGTTGTTGAATAAATTGCTTCATGTTTCCAAATTAATTTAACAGAATAATAATATCCCCCACCACCAAAAACTGACCTCTATGACTATCTATCTCCTGACTATCTTTGGGTGATTTCCTCTCCGATAACAAAAACGTGTAATCTAGAATCAAAATAACTTATTTCATACGTGTTTCTGAATTTCCCGTTATTGCCGAAAGGATAAAGAATGATTTTATTTTTTGGTATCGTTCGAGCTGCCAAATAGGGCACGACCAAGCCGCGAGTTTTAGGAAACATTAATCACCAACCGACACCTGAATTGTTTGATAAATTACAATCAATTCCATCTGACGGTCGTTTGAAAGAAATTGCCTTTGGTAAAAGTCATTAGCACTACTTTAAAAATTCGCGACCCTTTGTTGTGGCGTAAATTAAGCGTAATATAAATTCATGAGCTGGGGTTGTGGACATCTAACTGTTAAAACTCTTAAATACAGAGTTGTTAAACAAGCGAAATGTAACAAGTTCCAGTAATTTTCAAGTCCCAATATGAGCGGGTAATTAAATTAAATTACTATAGACTTATTTTATATTATAAATGCAAAAGTTTAGATGGATGTTTGTTAGAGTTTTCCGCCTAAACGGATGAACGGATCTCGATGAAATTTGGCATAGACGTAAAGTTTTTCTAATTCCACACAGATGATGTCGCGGACGAAAGGAAATTTTCATTCTAATTTTATATCGACTTACCCAAAACATTACTTGAAAAGTATATTATTATTTATTTTAATTCCGGAAATTAGAGTAGATTAAAAAAATAGGTCAAGAAAGTTTTTGTCGGCATCATTTAGTAAAAGCAAAAAGCAGTCTCATTTTATGAAGATTTCTTGATTGAAAATTTATGATAAATTGCACTAAGATCTTGCTCCTAATGAACCAGTATTTATCTTACTTTTTACAGAAGACAGAATACTAATATTACTTGTATTATAAATGCGAAAATTTAGATGGATGGATGTTTGTTTCAGTAAGTAGCCTAAACGGCCGTACAGATATTGATGAAATATGGTACAGATATAGAGGATAATCTGAAAGAACACATAGGCTACACATAGGCACTTTTTTTTTAATTTCACGCGGATGTAGTCGCGGGGGATAGCTAGTACATATATAACAGGAAATATGGTCCGATGAATACACAACCAAACAATAGTAATAAATTACGAATATTATTTATGCCACCACTTGTTTTCCCTGTGGAGGCTCACTGTTATACCGGAGAAAAACAATACGTTAAACTTTCGACAATCTTATTAGGATAAAGTTGAATACGCAAATTATTTAATCATGACAAACTACTTGCCATTTCTTCTTTAATTTAGGCATAACTTACGGCCTTTTTTAATCAAATTGAGGTAATTTTAAAATAAGTTCTAAAACTGAACCTCGATAACTCATACCTCGGTAACTTAAAAACCTCTATATCTTCAAAAAATAATATGTTCCCATCCCATGAGAGCCCAAAAACTCTATAACACATACCCTTGATAACTTAAAATATTTTATGTTTCCCTTGGACTTTAACTAATAGACTTTCCACTGTAATTCATTTTAGTATGTGTCGTTGTATATTTCAGTAAATTCAAAGCAGAAGCGAAATTCTTTAAGGTCTATTTTAAAATCATTATATGTTCAATTTACAATAAATGGAGCTAAGTTCGACGAGCTTTATTCTTACTCATAATAGTCTGGCGCCAAAAGCGATTATCCTTAAACCTCTTAAAAGTATAAAGGCATCAGTTTCTCTACGGATGGTAAAAGGAAGAGTACAACCGATATTTAGGTTACTTGCATCGAATGCTCCTTAAACTATGAAAATAATTTCATAGGATCTTGTTAATAAAATAAATTACACATGCCAGAAAGCAAAAGACAATTTTTTTATAACAACATGGCAAACGAGCAAGCGGCCACCTGAATCCGCCAAAATTTATTTCTAGAAATAAAAAAAACTGATTAGAAAATCACTAAAAGATAGATTTTATTGCACAAATATTTGGGATATTTAAGGTTTTTGAGCAAATTGACAGTATAGTAAAGTAAACCAAAATCGTCGGTAATCAACAAGCAAGCAAGCGTAATACGTGTTCATGCGGAAGAAGGGAGAGACGATTGACGGCACCGTGAAATGAAACCCGTTGATATCTGATAACTGGTGTGAGTGCTCCTATTCTATTACTTGTTCATCGTCAACGAGTATACCAATATTGTGCAGATTTAACTATTAGTTTTTTAGATAAACTCAAGTAGTTGTGCGATAGTTTAGTAAAAGGTGTGCGCCTGCTCTAGCCTCTCTAGCCTTTGTTTTTATCGTATACTGTGACAAGCGAGAAAGCACCATTGTAATTCGCCAAAATAGCGAAAAGACCGTTGCTAATAGACATCCACCTATAAATTAATGTTACTGTGCTACAAATTTCAGACCTAATACTTAGGAATGAAGGAAAAAGGAACTAATTCAAGCATTTTCTGCCTAACAGAGTAGTTACAGCATGGAACAGGCTTCGGGATAGTGTAGTGGCGGCTCCAACAGTCAACGTTTTTAAAAATAATTAGATAAACTTAAAATCTCCGAGCTGTACAACACACACGCATCAGCTAACTAGCTGTTAGTGTGTCACCCAAAATATTAATAATACCAATGAATATACAGCTGAAAATAGATATATAGAAGCTAGAACATCTAAATTGCGATTAGCAACGTCAATCACTTTGGTATTAATTAATCTTTGGCGAAAATTGGACATAGATAAATTATTCCCTCTTTATTTCTGGCGTAGAAAATGTTCGTAAGACAAATAAATGCGTAATTCTGATTACAAGTAATTACTTAATTAATTAAAGTTAAGATTTAGACTGCATTAGATGTGGTTTCAGTCAAAGCCCGTCGAAGAATTCGCTATAATTAGGTTTTTGTTGGTGCTATGTTGGCAACACTATTGTTACCAAAAAAAATAGTTTGAAAACTTTTGGTTCTATTATTTCTAACATTCATAACCTTTTGTAGACGTAACTGCTAAAATGGAGTATATATTTTACTATGAAAAGGTTATTGATAAATAATTTTTCCATCGGTGAGTGCAGAGATAATTACGTTAAAATGTAACATATTTGAATTTAGGTATCATTAATAACGAATTGATACTTTCATGATTCTCTCTCAGTAAGTACTACCATTTATACTCGTATCTCGAATTCTGCAATTTATTACCACCATTTATCATTTCATCGTGCCTTTCTCCACGTATGTTATGCGACTATAACTGGCTACTGGAGTCTCTAATATATCCATAAGTAATAACGTACGGATATCGTAAATGTTAACGGCTATTCACAGACGGTCTTTAGTATTCAATTCAGAAACTATTTCTGACCTTTTCATCGTCGTTTTAAAACTCGTCGTCAATTAAAGTACCAATTTTCAATAAAATAGTTTAGTTTTTCTAAGCCAAAGAAAAAAAACAATTGAGCGTTCACCACGCAGATAAAATAAAACTGACCAAATCCAATTGATTGAAATAACTTCTGCTATAACATTGCGGTGCAGTGTGATTGGGAAATGGTTATAGTCTGTCAAACTGTTCAAAGTAAAACCAAAACGCCTAAAAATAACAGATCCCATTTAAAATTCTGTCTTAATGTGTAGCAGATTACAATAATGTGAAATAACAGGATACGTATTGTAAATTATTGTCCAGATATCTGTAGGTAGTGTTAAAATGTGTGAGTGACTGTAGAGAACATTGTGATGGTGGGTGGCGTGGACACAGCATGACCACATGGATGGCGCTGTTCGGGTTAGTGTGGCTACTGCGAGTGCGCGGCTCCCTGTGCGGGTGTGCGGCCTGCAAACGCGCTCGCCATGATACCCAGGATACGAGACAGACAGAAACGCAGAATATTAGAGAACCACAGTGCAGTTCAGCCTCTATCAGCTACACTCCCGCAGAAGGTCCACCGTTTGATGTCATCGCGCTGCAGAATTACACGCGTGATGCGACTGTGCAGACTGACTTTGAGGATGATGAGGATCTTGATAAAATTGAAATGCAGATCTGCGAAGGTTGTAAGTACTTTTATCATTTTAGACTGATTGTTCTATTTGTTAATGTGAAAATCAACTGGTTTTCTACTATGATGAAACTTGATGTCAGTGTATATATAAATAGAATTTTGCAATCATATTAAAAATAACTATCATGTTGTAGGAGTATATTTATACAAGTATCTCCAAGAATAACATAACGGGCAATGAAAAATAGCGCTTGTTCTAGTTTTCTTATAAAGCCATCGGGCAGATGAAAGTTGAATTCACGATTCTAATATGTCACAACGTTGACAATCCTGGTCTCCGTCGCTTATTTTCGCTATTTGATATTCTTTCCTCGCTCTATTTATACGTTTCTATTTTAAATCAAATAACATTATGAGAAATATGGATTTGACAATATCAAGAACGTTCAGTCACTTTATTTGATAAATGAGGCATTTATTTTACACAGTTTAGATTTTATTAATCTATGCGTTCCAAGCCGATAATTTTACTGTGAATTATAATTTGTAATCATCATGCTCTGCTTAAATGTCCATATACAAATTTCGAATGTTTGTTATACATATGTTCATTTGAAAGCCATTGTTTACCTTGACGAGGTATCCACAGATTTAATAGACTTGAAGCTTCTCCAGTTGCGTTATAGGTTTGGTCCATCGATTTAGCAAAGCCTTTAGGCAGAAACTCATAGTGATCTGGGCTGTACTCTAGCTTTGGTAATAGTTGTTTGTTGAATTAATAACTTTCTACAGATTTGATTTCCTTTAAATTAGTGATTCTTAAGCAGTTACCACTTCTAAAGTTAAGCAGTAAAATAATTTTATTAATTTAAATTGCAGCCAATGCGGCATTTTATTTTAAACATCAATATACGTGGCATTAACTTATTTGCGAATCAATGTTGAGTATCACGAGTAGTAATTTTATTTCCAAATTGAACGAACAATCTGCGATTCAATAAACACAATGTTTCTCTATCCATGAATATAATTTATAACATTTTTAACCATTGAATTAATATGAATCAAATAAATTTATTTCAATAAATGTTTCATCAATATTCAGTCACAGTCACAACCTAATTAACTATAAATGAAATATAATGATGTGATGACTTACAGCCTAATTTGGTAACGTGATTTATTTAGCTGTAATAAGGGTAAGTAATAAACTATTTTCATGATTTGTAGTCAATTTGATTCTGTTCGCAGCGAACGTCGCGAACTATGATTGTGGGCGTGAGCAGGCGACACAAAATCCGGAAGTCGAGCAGTGTACTGCAGGAAGCTTACAGGTTCATATCCACATGTCAATGTACTTTTATTGACGTAAATCACACTGAGCAATATAAAGGCTAAGTTGTAATGTGATAAAAATAATTCACTTTTTTTAATATTTATGCCACGGTTAATGACACCTTGTTATTAGTAAACTATTTAGAAAAAGTTTACTTGAATTTTAATGCTTTTAAAACTTTTATATTTTAGAAAATATGTCTAGGAAATCACAAAATTCGCTATTAATATCTAAGAAATAAATTAAATACTTGCAAAGAAGATTAATTAACTGGTATTAATAAAAACAAATGTGTTACGTCATTCAATTAGTGAAATAATTCAGCCAGTCTAAGTCATTCACGCATTTCACAAAAACCTATTATATTCTTTGTTTCAGTCTTGCTCTGATTCAGATGATTCAGTATGGGAGACAGCTGATGTTACTTTGGAGCGCGGAACAAACGGTCTAGGACTGAGCATAGCAGGCGGCGAGAGCGGTGGCGATATTAGCATAACTCGATTGGCTGTCGGAGGAGCGGCCAGAAGTGACGGCAGACTGCAAATAGGAGATATTTTACTGCAGGTGTGTAACAATTTCAATTCTATTTGTAACTTCGCAGGCTCATATACTTCAGAAGTTATGGACGCATTACACGAAACAAATGAACAAGTAGAAAATTTGATAATAAGAGAAAGTAATTCAGTATTGAATAAGGTTATTGTCTACTTTGTGAGAACTATCAATTTTTTTCTTCATAATGTTCTACCTACTGGTATTGTTACATTTTAAACGACGACTTAACAAATAATAAGCAAAACCTTTAAGTTTATTTATTTTAAATTGGGTTTGTGTTGCGTTGCCGTTTATAACGTTGTAAAATTAACCAGTATGGACTGTTTTCAAAAATTTTGTTAATGGTCGACCTGAGTATGGCAAGTTCTACTTTGACAATATGTATATTCAAGTACACAGCAGAACTTTTCCGTTTAACTAGATACATAAAACTTACGAAATTCTCGTGACTTAATGAAATATTACTCGGTTTTAAAATTACAGACGTTCCCAGCGGTGTAATTTTGTAGCACTATACGCTTTTAATCTGGTAGAGTTTGAGTTATGTTTTGTACGTTTATTACATCTAACGTAGATTCACCTTATTTATAATATTTGAGGAAAATTTCATCAGTACTTAGTTGTTCTAAAAATAGATTTATGAAAATAAATTTGATTTTGCTCTCATCCGCTCCTATTATCGGAATTACGAGTTCTAAGTACTGTATTTAATTTTAGTAAATATTATTTTCTTGATACAAAATTGATGTTAAAATATTTTAATGTACTCGTCCATTTTAATATAAATCTTGTAGTTATTTTACCTTGTCTTATAAAACTGCCTTCTAGACTAATTTCGAATAATTATTTTAGGTAAACGACGTATCTTTAGAAGGTGCTCCTCATTCAATGGCAGTTGATGCCTTACAGAAAGCTGGAAACATAGTTAAATTAGTAAGTATATTTCCAAAACATGAAAACAAAACGCTAACAGTAGAATTAATTGCACTTAATACCTGTCTTGAACTTGAGAACAATTACTAAAATTTTCAAACCATCATTTTATCTTAATTGATAGAGAGTCCGAAGAGCCAGACGTCCTAAAGTGGTCACGTTATGGAGAGGAGCACGAGGACTTGGTCTGGGAATCGCAGGAGGCGCTGATGACGCAGCGGGAGGAGGTGGAGTATTCATATCACACATCGCCGTCGGGGGCGCAGCACATTATGATGGCAGACTTAGACTTGGTGATAAAATACTAGCTGTTAGAGATGAAGATGTAAGTAAAGTCGATTGTATAAGTATTATTGGCTGCACTATATAGCGTTGTTATCAATTTATTATCATTAACATAGTAATAAAGGTTATTAAACTAGTAATCGATATTGCAAACCTTACTACTCGTATTTAATTAACCAGTCTGGTGAGAGGCAGTTAAAAGGCGTGAAGGTTTAACTAAGCGATTGTCAATGTCCACTTAAAATTTATTGCCATTAAATTATTAATGACTTTGGAGCCGATTTTTAAAAACAATTTTGAAGGTAATAAAATTAAAATGCGTTTAATATGAATGGAATGTTATTATTAATATTTTTTACATTACTAAAAGTGTGTCTAGTATAAAATAGAAATACGATGACGAAATAACCACAAGTGATTTTTTATTAAAGAACTATTAAAGAAGATCAATAACTGCTTAGATGACAAGGCCGAAGCAATTTTCTTGTTCTATGAAATTGCGTTTAATAAAACTTTACCGAAAATTGTATTATTTTAGGGAATAGAAACATCATTAATTGGTGCAACACATGCAAAGGCTGTCGCAACACTGCGCAATACTGGAGAGCATGTTACCCTCATCGTCCTTCCAGCTGCTTCCATCCCGCCTACGGTCCAGCCCACGCAACTTTACACAAGTAAGATTTTATTTCCACACGCAGAATCATTTTATAGTATAGAAGTCGCTAAATGTACATTGTAATGCTAAACCACAACAAAATATTTGCTGCATGAATACAACTGAAATGAAAACTTACGTAATAAATTAGGACGACGTAGGATTTATTTCTAATTAAAATATACTAAAGTGAATAAAAAAAACATCTTATACTACAAAAAGGGCAGAAAAAAAACTGTAGATTAATTACTCGACATTTACGTAAATAAACAAAAAGCCACCGCAAACTACGCACTTTTTATCGGCAGATAGGTTATGAGTATAAACATGTAAAGAAGTATGCAAATTACATCGATTTTGTATAACGTGATTTTAGCTTAATAGCTCGATCTGATAAAACTGTCGGCCGATTACAAGTCCGAAGAGGTTGTAAAATGACATAAGACTTAAAATATGTTCTTTCAATAGCAAGGACACAAGCAACGTCGTGTTCAACACTCCATGAGCTTACAGAAGAAGACCCAAGTAAAATACCAAGGTAAGTAATGAATCACGCATCAATTAATGATTAAAGGGAATTATCGTATTATATATTAGCTTTAATTGTTTATTAAATCACGGTCAAATAAAAATAAAGATTTACATTAATGCTTTACTATTAGTTTTAATACATCTACGTTACGACTTTTATAATACCCAATAGTAAAATAAATGAATTATTTTCATATCTATTCATTTTTTTATTTATATCGTCATTTACCACGTATAATTAAGTTAATGACGGGCATAAATTATAATGTTTTATAAGTACTAATATTTTTAATTGAAAATAAAAACGATCCATGAATTATTAAAATAATAAAACTGTTTATAAACTTTACTAAACAATTTTATATTAAAAATGTAATAACCTGTATTTTTATCTTTAATTTGGTCAAAAATAATTGCCAACTGTCATGTAAAGTATATTTTTACCAAAAAACTAAACTGAAACATTTCTCAATTTAATTTAATTTTTCATTTCTTATATTACAACCTCTGGTTTAAAATAATGTTATCCCTAGTTTTTCTAAGTGTATAATACGTTTTATACAGTTGTTAGGGTAGCATTTCACTGTTTTAATTGTCATTTAGATGTGTCCGCATGGTCAGACTAGTGCGGTCTGGATCTCGTTTGGGCATGGACATTGTTGGTGGTCTTGGCGGAGAGGAAACTTGCAGTGGTCTGGAAGAGGAGGCTTGCGGTGTGTTCGTATCAGGAGTGTCAGTGGAGGGAGCGGCGTATGGCATGTTGTACAGAGGAGATAGAATACTAAGTGTTGATGGAAGAGATCTATCCAGAGCTACGCATGAACAAGCCGCAGCAGCGTTGAAGGTATTGTGTTAATAGTGATTCACTTTTTTTAACTTTCAAGGAAATATTCCCCAGAAATGCCATTAAAAAAAGAAAAAAAAGCTGATAATCCAATACTTGCTATTTTTGCTAAACTTAATAGTTTTTTTAAACGTATAACTTTTTATAATCCTTGATGATTAATAACAGCCGGTAATTTAAAATGTTTTCCCTAATAGATTTATGTTGCAGTCGACGCATACAAGATAAAAAATACAAGAGCATTTAAAGTCGGTAAAACCAAGCCTCGGCGGATTTTTCCACTTTATTGCGTACTAAAATATACGGAAGGCGGTACCCTTTGAAGAGCGTTTATATGCTTCATAACTCGAGTCTCTGATGTCTTATTGAAATGAAATACACCTTATCCTATATCCGAGAGCAAAAGTAATAACGTTATAACAACCCTATCGTATTCCATACCCTAGAGTATTGATGTAATGTTTCTTCCTTACTCTCTTTTTAAGAAAAATACAGTTGGCATGGAAATAATTGTTAAATACACTGCTGTAATTTATCACTACAACTTTTCGTTTATTAAATGTGCGATCCGTTAGACTTATCCGATGTTTTGGAATATGATACCATTTTTATCAAGAGCAATTAACCCGCAATGCTACCGGCGCCCATGGGTATGAACTTTATGCTGGCTTTCGGATTCCCCGTTTTAACTTCATCCTTTCGTAGTTGATGTACCGCGAGTTCGAACGAAAAAGTTTGAGTTATCGTTCCTTGTGCGTACTGCATACGATTTTAACATGTTGCCGGCATCAATTGTCCCGTCCAAATATGACGTGGAGGCCTTCAAATGGAGAGTGAACAGCTACCTATTAAGCTAGCGCGTACCATCTTTCGACAAAATCGTCACTTCCTTCAGGTGGGATCGTGGTCAAGCGCTAGCTTAACAAATATTTAAAAAAAAACTTACTGTGTGCGAGACATAAACAGTTAGGTATTGAATTTTAAGTATGAGCATATGAATAAACTAAATCTCTTTTGTTATAAAGACTAATATTAAAAGGCCTTCTCTTCCTGATTTTTATTATTCGATAGGTTTAGCGTTCACCCTATACAAATAGGTTTGGTATTGAATTGCTGTATTCTTATATGGATATTTTATTTGTTAAAATATAGCAGTACTCAGGCAGTGCGGTGACGATAGCTGCACAATACCAGCCGGAACACTACGAGAGGCTCCGCGCGCGCATCAGAGCTATTAATGCAGCTGCGATGTCGCCACACACGATGCACCCCACACACGTTCCTGTACATCCTGATTTACACGCTATCTATCCCAGGTGAGACAGATCACAAAACAAATATAATAGGGTAGGCAGATCAAGTTTACTTTTTATGAAAATTAATAGAAGTTTATGAGATATCCGCGATTTAAGATATGTATGATTTTTTTATGCTTGTTAAGCTTGCGATTGACCACAATCCTAACTAATGAGAGTGACGATGTCAAATGGTACGCGCTAATAAATACTCATTCGATTATGTGATAGATAATTTGAACTGTTTGTTTGCAGGTAGCAGTAAACTGACTGAATCCACTGTCTTGGACAATTATAGTTAGAAAATAAATTTGTTAATAGTTTTACGAAGGACAATATTTACTTATGTATGTATATAAATGATTATTTTGTTTGTACTATGTGTATAACGTTCACGAATGTTATTGATTAATTATTAATATTTGCACATTATTTAATTATCATAATCATGTTCTTTTAATATTTAAACATTTGAAGTTTTTTGTAATAAGTATTGTAATCGATATCACTTTTAGAATAGACAATCTATTGATCAACCTGTGATATTAAATTAAATGTTTAGAAATAAGACCAAATTAATACATTAATGGAACTGAATAAAAGGTAACAGAAATGTAAAAATTCGTATTATTTTCCCTACTTCATCGTGTCCTTTGTGACGTAATCCAACAAAGCTTTTTATTAGAGATGTGATCGGAGTTGATGAGAAGATTGGCAAATGCAAACTTAGTTTTAACACGTTTAAAGCGGCAGAATTTTTTTTATTCTGTCAGGTTATGTGGTACCAGATGTAGCAAACCCTGTATCTTATATGTACATTTGTTATTCGCATAGTAAGCGAGATACATACGAGTACGTACCTAGTGTTTTAAAGCCGCACAGTACAACTGGCCTGAGAAGTCATATGTGAATATAGGAAGGCTTAGGTTGGATTATTCCTAGCCATAATATGCAAGTAAGAAATGAGATTCCCCCTTTTCCTAGCAACCTCCGTTACATAAGTACTGATCTGGAAGTTCTTGTTCCTATTCATAGTCACATCGAGGGAACCTAGAGGTCGTTAACTTCTTACTTCAATAAAAGTTGTTTACAAAAATTTTATTTCGAAATTACGTCACTATTTCGTGTTCTGACGATAAAGGGTAATTAGGGTTAATTAATTACGGTTATTGATGTCAAAATTTTATAAAAAAAATTTTTCGTAAAATCAGGAAGTACACGTCAGTTTGATTTATTACATTGGCATTGGAGGTTTTATGTTACTGAACTATTTATTGTTATTTAAGTTAACAGTTTAATTAAATAGATAATCATACTAATATTATAAATGCGAAAGTTTAGATGGATGGATGGATAGATGGATGGATGTTTGTTAGAGTTTGTAGCCTAAACGGCTGAACGGATTTCGATGAAATTTGGCATAGATGTAGAGGATAGTTTGGAAGAACACATAGGCTTCTCACTTTTGTTTTTTTTTTAATCCCACGCGGACGGAGTCGCGGGCGAAAAATAGTAAGTAATAAATGTAAACAGCCAATCACGCTTGTTGGTTACATTATAAACCGAGTTTAAACCTTTTTTTAGAAATTCAGTTACACTTTGTGTCTTGACATGAAACTTTGAAGCAAAACATTCCTTACCCTTATCATTTCAAGTTATGATATACCGAACTTGACGGCGACAGAAGGTAGATTACAAAGTTGTAACTCGCGTCTCGTCTACGCAATACGCATGTTCTGAGATCATTTAGAAACTTTGACTATAACAGACTCTCTTTGGTTAATTACACCGCAAAATGCCAAGTTTATTTAGTTAATTTGACATTTTCAAGTTCAGTGGCTTTTGTTTTATTTTGATTACAATATGCAAATAATAAAAGAAGCCATTTACCTACCAAATATATATACATATAAAATTTGATATCTACAAACTTTCGTAAGTTCTCCGAGTACGATCACAAAATAAACTAAACATCTAGAAAGATGTCAATACGGTATGCATCTACATAATGGTAAAGAAGTCTTTTGTCTATAAAAACATCGTCCCTGGTCATACGTTCAGGATGCAGAGCAGTTAAATAAGAGTGAGTAAAATTTATTTCACATATAAGTTTGAATAAAAGGAAAAACGTAACGTTTCAAGCGCGCCGTGGTTGCATTGAATGCATTCAAGCGAAGAAATGAATGAAATCGTGCGCACTGGAATCGTATGTGGCTAACGATTAGCTATATGAAAGGTAAAAACAAAAACTAGCAGACCACTTTCATGATTGGGTTGTATGTTATTTTTAAAGTTTTAATTACTACTTATAATAAAAGTCTAACCATACTGGTAATGTTTTACAATATCATTTGAAGAAATGAAAAATAGATTGCTTAACGCATAAAAGCCTCTTTGTATTTCGAGTAACAATTTGGAATTAAATTTTAGAGCGCCTACTACTTTTATATAGCAATTTCACGTTCATGAAACATCTTAGCTTTCACACATTTTATTACAGTTTCTTTATTAATTTCTAAGCAACATTGTAAGCATATAGCTACACTTTTAATCTTTTTTTAATAACCTCCATTAAATATCAACTTTCAGTTTAAATGAGTAACAATTACAATAGGTTAGTATTCTTAAAAATCTTTACAACGGTAAACTAAAACAATAGAAAAATCTGAATCGTCTACAGATAAACAAAAGAAAGCATTCAACGCGCATTATTCCCGGAAACGATGTTTTCCTTAGGAAAGCAAGCAAAAGAATTGTTAAATAGCAAAAAAGACGAGTCATTATTGCCTTTGTTTTATAAGAAACGAGGAAAAGTTCGGTGGCAACAAATTAATGTTACATTAAAAAAGCAAATCAGAATTATCATAAATCAACTTTTATAATCTGGCGGACATAATAATCTTCTAATCTGCCATATTTGATAATGTTTGTACATTAATTAAAAAAAACAACGGTAATTCATAAAATTAGCTATAATTAATAGCGATATGAAAAACTGACGCTACTAGGTTTACATACTAAAGAAAGAAACCGTCATCTCGTTTGTCGTATTAGGATCTAAATGTGACAGGCCACCTAGGTTAACAAGATATCCTAGGAGACCTCTTTGACATAGAGAACATTTGACATAGGTTATTGCTTTTTATGCTCAATTTATTTGTAAACAACATAAAACGATTTATTTAAAAGCTCATGGGTTAAGAATAAAGGAAAATCTGTAATTTATATGTTTTCGTTTAAAATGAAATATTTATTTCACATTTAAAAAAACTATGAGTAAAACGAGATTTGAAAGAAGTGTGATATAAGAAAATAAAAACAGCAGCAAATGTATAACACTTCGTAAAGAATGTTGTAAGTGTAGGTTTCTACTGCTATAACATCCATACTCCACATAATGTTATCTCTGTTTATTTCGACAATATGAGGGAGATGCCACTATATTTTTCTTAAAATACATCTGCAGCGGAAATCCAAGGTAAAGCAAAACGTCTTCAAAGACGTTATTGCGCTGTTTTATTGTTTCCACTCGTATTGTCAGCAGACGAGACTAAGCTAAGGAGCAGAGTGCATATTTGTAAGAGATTGTGTCATGTATTTTTTTAACTTCCACGTGAATTATTTTGTAATCACACGTTATATTCTTGAGAATTCAGAAGTAGACAAATATTAAAGCTGACTTTTTTATTTCAAGATGTTAGTAGATTTTTGTTCATTTACTAATATTTCCTTTAACCATACTAACTAAGCTCTAGGTTTGTGTCAGGATATGGTTCACGACAATACTTGTGTGGTGGGATTCGAACCCTCGACCGCAAGATTGGTATACCATACCCCAAAAGTATTGCCACTTAAAAAATAACAATAAGAATCTAAAAATTTTATAACGCAAGCAAGATGTCTATTTCACTCTACCCCTAATCTGTCTATGTCTAGGGTATACTACAAATTAAACAAAACTGCATACTATAAATTGGTTGAGCTTTTTATAATATGACGGTCACAATGATACGCTAACACAAGCTCTCAAACATACTAAAATATTACAATATCTGCTAAAATATTTTAAAACTAGCTGTTCCCCTGCGACTTCATCCGCGTGAAGTAGTATAAAAAATATTGTTTACATTAATCAGTTCTTAATTGCAAATGTCAAAATTACCGTTACCATACTAACATTACTTCCTTAATGTTGGCAGCTTGTAGTTTATGGTCTCTTTCCCACATTAGGGAATTCATCCAAAATATTTACCCCCTAAGTTTAATAGCGTGAAAATGTATTGCGTGACGCAAGTGTAGGGCTTATTATTAAAAAAAATATTCAAAAATATGCTGTAATTGCTGACATCTTAGGCAACAAAGATGTGTGTGTTTACGCTTTATTATAATAGTATAGATAACATTTCTTTACAAGTAGACAAAAGAGAAATTTTTTGACAATAAGCTCTAACACAAAGTACGATATGTAAATCAACAAAATGCGTTTAGTTGCACGATACCAATCTCTATGTGAGAAATGCCTTTGCTGAAAGTTTGTGTAAATTGAACACATGAGACCGAATGAACGTTTGTAGAATTTAAATATGACTTTACTTTAGCCTTTTAAATTTTAGGGTGAATGACCATAACCAAGTACAGAAAATAAAACGAAAATAATTTTTACTGAGGCGAAATTTTTGATATGACCTTTTGAAATTAAATAATTATAGGCAGTATGCAAGATATAAATAAATCTATCTGAACACTGACGCTGCTGCCTTTATAAGTAGGTGAATTAAAAAAAAAACTAAATTAATTGAAGTCCAGAAATCTTTATTTGTTGAATATACATTGAAATATGAGTTTACAAGTAAACAGCAATAACTTGAAAATAATATAATTGTACTGATTGTTTTAAAGAAAATAAATATAACATGTAGGTACACATGTAAAGCATTAAGGGAATTAATAAAAGCCGGTTCTTGTAATATCATTTGAATAATGCTGTAGTATAATATTTTACTCCAGGAATTCAGCTCGTCTGAC